CAGCAGCGTGGTCGTACCACCTGATACGGAATCACCATAATTTGCATTTTCTCAATTAAGTAATTAAGTTAGATTGAACACCGGTGTGATCTTACCAGCTTAATACTAATATAATTTGCATTTCTTCGTTATTAAAGCTTTAAAACGATTAGACTAGTATCATTATACCATTATTTGCCGTACAAATATTGTTATTTAATATCATTCAACCTCAAAAATGTATTCCTTTAAGCTTTTATTTCAGCATTAGAGTTGACATCAGAGATGACGGCATTACAGTTGGTTTTAAGACACCTTTACTTTACACAGTCCTGAATGCTTTGAACGAAATATTGTGTCAAGTGTTTCTAATTTTGATATCCATTGGACCCAAATTTTCATTCGGGACAGAGTTGGAAAATTGTTAGGACGGATTCGACAGTCTTTGGCTAGTGGTCGGGATGGTTGGAAGTAGGTTGGCCATACTCTCCAAGCAGAGGTTGTGGGGGAATGATCGTTACCTTTTTATATATAGCCGTTTTTTGTTGTTGTCCTGATCCCCACCCGTCGGTGGCCGCGGACCTTCTCTGGCTAATGGATACTGCCTGGCCAATTTGCCACCGAGAGGGATCTGCTTGGAGATTAGATTGGCCAGCATTCGGGGATGGTTCGGGGAATGGTTCTGAAATGGTTTTTGACAAGGTCGCGGCACGGAAGATAGACGTGGTCCCGAACATCTAGCCTCTACCAGGCTTCGGGAGGCGACTGGAAAGAGTAGAAATCGGCCAAATAGAGAGATAGCATGCCAAGGGAGTTGGTAAGATAGAACGTCCTTGAACATTACGTGTACCAAAGTCCCATGATGTAAAACACTGTGATTATAGAATTTCCTCATTAACTATGCAAATGAAGTCATCATATGCATAATTTGCATCCAATAATGTATATCTCTGTCTAAGCTACCCACATACCAAAAATCATAAAAATACATTGTTTCTTTGTGAATTTATCTGCTTTGAAAGGTTTTGCCAGAAACCCCCCTGCAGTTCCAGAACAAGCTACTAGGGGAACCAAACCCACACCACTTATTACTGGCAGGAAGAGCTATCCACCACTCAAAAATCAAAACCATAGCATGTCCAGGACAAAACATACAAAAACCGGTTCTGCTGCAGAACCAAGGTCAGCCACCAGGAGGCCCAAAATCGACCTTGACCTTTGGCTACCCAACACCTATCCACATACCAAATGTCATTGCAATCCATCCAAAGGTTCAAAAGTTATGCTGGCCGCAAATGTCCGGAAACACAAACACACACACAGACAGACACGCCAAAAACAATACCTCCATTTTCATGGAGGTAACAAAGTGATGAAAAAAAATTAAGTGTGTGTGTGTGTGTATGAATGTGTATTCATCTGTTACATGTGTATTGTACTCAAAGGTAACCTAAAAGCAGTCCCCTTATATACATGCATACAATGTAGCTACCAAAAATGATATTGTAGGAAAACATTTCAGAATGCCAGACACAGCAAGAGTCAAGTGTAACTGTTCAAAGGCCCTACCTCATGACCTAAAATATCATCGCTGATATGCTTGCATTGTCAGACTGATGTAGACGCATGTATTGCATTCGACGGTCATGCAGAAGCGCCCCACAGTGGCCAAAGATAGTATTGCAGGAAAACAGGTGCAAATGTCATGGGGTATCATCAGAAAATTTTATGAATGAACAGAACAGAACAGAACAGAACAGATCAGGCCAATATTCCAATCAGAAAAGAAATAGTTTATTAATCCCATGAAGTAAAATGTACATCTTTATGAAGAAAAAGAGAAAATGAAATAATGGTACTGTTGAAACTCATCAACCTGAATGCATTTGATATTGCAAATATGATAATTCTCACTGACATTGGAATTCTTGTAACACTAGAGTAGTTTTGCTATGACTTGAGCACTCTCATCTCACACAATATATCCAGGCCTTTTTGCAGACAAGGTGGCTAAAAGTGTATAAGAGATGAAGTGCTACAGACTGTTCCACAAACTTTCCGGGGGGTGGGTGGGTGTTGCAGTCTAGTTCGAGTATTTGTTTCACCAATTTAACAGCAACTAAATATTTCCATGCAAGTAATTTTAAGCAAAAAAAAAAAAGCTGGCATTGTCTAATCACAAAAATCCCAGTTACAAAAGACTGCCTTTTTTTCTTGCACCTTTCAAAAGTCCTGCCCAGAAGATTATGGAACAGTCCAGAGACAAAAGTTTAACACAACAAGCTAATAGTATATTCCATAAGGCACCAAGGTCACAGAGGTCTTTGCATATCATCACTTCATCCACTCATGTATTCAGCTGGTGGAGTAAAGATAACTTATTGCATGTAAGTATTATTGTTTACATGTACGTCTGCCAATGAAAGGTAGACATCATGCAATGTCGTACTACTGGTAGTATTCTACATGCTAACTCCGTGTTTCCCTAGATCTGAGGTACATTTGTATAAGCAGTAAGCCAGTTTACCGCTTGAACTGCACACAGTATGATGCAAAGTGGTAAAAGTTGAAGGCCCCTGAGGCTACACCAATTTAATTTGTTGTTTCTTTGATTTTTTTTCAGAAAAAAATATGAAGTGGCAGGGCGTAAAAAAAAAAAAAACAGATCTAGGCATCCTATTATAGCCCCAAATGCTGAACTTTTAATCAAACCAATACATTGATAGATGGAAATACAGTGTAACAACTAGGAAGGACTTTCCTCAACTGTCCGGGCAAAATATAAGCGTATTTGAGTTGATTCAGAACCAGAATCTTTTTTTTTTTCAAATCGGAAGAAATGAAGAGGCGAATCCGAGAACCAACAAATTAAATTTGTGTGGCCTTAGGGGCCCTTACCTTTGACCACTTGCAAGTGCAGCTCAAACCGTGGACTAACTTCTTACTGATATTTCCACAAGTATCTACAATCTGTATCTGTAATATTGTAGGAGTTAAAAATTGTTTACGTCTCTCAAAATGACCAGTGGGTGCTTTTCTGCAGTATACAAAATCTTCCAAACAAAACAGTAACAGGTTCATGTGACAGTACCAAAAGCTTGGCTGTGTGATATCTTTGTCTCAAATCTAAACAAACAAAAAAACATCCAGGTATTATGGAGAATATCAGAATAAAATTCTTACATCTAAAGTACAATGTCTATGATACATTCCATCCACCAGTCTAAAAAAATTCAACTCACACCAAATTGCTTTTCTTCTCTTGCATATATGACAATAATATAAATGGCACATTCCATGGCAGGCATTAAGTAGGACACTGGGCTGTCTCAAGTGTGTGGATTGTGCTGTCAAGTTGCCTCTATTATATAAATCAGGTGTATTAAATCTGGCTAAACTGTAACAACGTATGGCTAAACTGTAACGTTACTACTAACTTTGAATGGAAGTACATGTACAAAGTCCTCTCTGTGTTCTATCTTTTGTGAAACATGTCACTTCTTTTCCATCTGAACATGGCAAACAGACATCAAATTTCGTTGACAGCTAGACATTGTAAACCTTCTCCCTGCAGCCTGACCCCATAACCAATAGAGATTTGGTAGCCACATGGCTGGTATGCAGAAGGTTAAAATTATTATATTATCCTACTTCACATCTGCCATGGAAGGGTGCCAGTAGTAAGTGCACATTACCTACCTCACCTTATGATCAACCAACTTACAATAATTGCATTCTATAATCTTTATATATATACATAATGAGGAAAGCTCAAAATCACACTTTTCTTCTCTACAACATCCGTTCTAAGCATGAGTCCCACAAACAAAACAGTCACATGTTGGTCTGATTTCTGTAGGCACAACTTTTAAATTTGTGTATGAGCCCTTAGTTGGGAGAGGCTTGACATGTTTCTTTCAGTTTCCTTTCATGCATGGTCCCCTCTTATCTTCCTTTTAGCAATATTTCAAGTATTTTACTCTAAAACACATCTTCATTGTATATTTAGGATTTCTTAAATTTCCTTGAAAACTAAGAAGAGTGGAGAAAACTGGTTGTCAGATTGTCTGTGGTGCCACAACGGTTGAATTAGACTTTGGAAACTTGTGAGGACTTTAACATCCAACGTTCTTGTCCATGAATTGCAGGAATCTTCTTAATATTAATTGTGGAGCAAGATATACATAGTAAAAATCATACAGACCTCATCATTGGCAGTGCTTCCATAGAAAGACCCTTAAACACTTTCTTTAGATTCAGTTTTGATGCGTTTAAAAATGCAAGAGAATTCGAAAAATACACAAACTGGACTAACTCCTATTCCACAACCAGCTATAGTATTCATCCCAATATAACATACATAAACATATCTGACCACGTCTGACTAAAACTAGGTATTCAAAAGGCGTCAGCTTTAGGGTGGCATTATTTACAGAAAAACTGGAATTTTTCAGGACACATCCAAGGGCCACACAATGGAATGGTCTACACACTGAATATATTTGTCACTCACCATTTAAAATTCAGTCTGTACATTATCTTTGCATTGTCGTGAACATAGCTTGCTAGAAAGAGAGGCACAGTGGTTTACTTTTATAATAATTGCTTAGAAATATGTCTCAATTATAATTCTGTAATCATTGGCAAGTGCTGTTTCTTACGCTATAAAGGTTCTCTGTCCTCCAAAAAGGATAGCACCAAGCCTGTTCCCGTCTGTTTACAATTCTGATTTTATATATTTAGGAACATTCGTAAACACCTTGCATAGCAGGACCACTCACTGACATCAAAAACACTGAATACTTAGGGGACTTTTCAAAGAAACAAAAATTATAGTAACTAGCTGAAACAAACTACAGGTTTTGGTATAATTTGAACCTAAATTGATGATATCCCCAACACCATAAGCAGCACCAACTTCCATATAATATTTAACATTCTGAATACAATCTGCAGAAACTTGAGCTGTTTAAAATATCATGCTAAATTTTTTCTGTTACACCTCCTGAATGTATCCAACATTAAGATACAAGTTAACCCCAGAAAAGAAAATGTTACTCTTCATCCATCTAGAATAATAAAAATCGACCACAAACTTCCAAGTGGAAAGTATTACCAGTAAACAGCCAACAAAATCATTTATGGTATTTAACTCTACACCAATCCATCACAAATCAATAACTATTATAATATTTTAGTCTCAACAATATATAGCTAATAGTACCTTATCAATAATCCTGGCCTTTAAACAATTACCCACAGCCCACACCAAATCATTTTTATGTACATAATATCCAAAATATGACTAATAGGTCATAATAATATATAGAACAAGGATGGTAAATGTTGATAACTTGTTCCATTGGCAGTATATAATCAGGAATTGCTATTTGATGTTGTCTCCCAAACCAGTTGTACACCAGCACCCCTCTGTCTAAAGCACTCAGTGTTGATGTCCCACCAAGGCTGTCCTGTACAGAAAGACATCAAGAACAACTCAATTATAATGGACACAGAAACACACAAAATCAAGATTAAAAAATTTTATATACGGTATAAGCTGATGATTGAGTGGCAGTATAATGCATAGTTTTATTTTCAATGATAGGGATTAGTAAATAAGTATTGTGTAATTCTGGGCATTTTTGCACTTAAATATGATTTTGGATTTACAAATAAAACATCAATGACATGGATGCTGATAAGCAAAGTGGAACACTGACCATTTAGATCAGGAGTGTAGGAAAGATGCATTTCATAATGAAAAGTTGAACACTGCAAGAAGCACGAACACTAGAAGTCCAATCATTTGGAGCTTAATGTTGTCATAGAGATGCTCCATGTACAAAATGCAATCTGCATAATACAAATATTAAGTAGCATTTATAAAATAATATGCACTTACAAGTGGAACCTTTCCTTACCTGTTTGTTTGTCACTCCACCCCCAGGAGTCTAGCAGCAGAGTCGGCAGAGTCCAGCATCTGGTCGATCACAGACGAGTCCTGGATGCCCAGGAGGTTCTGAATGATGTCAGAGCCTAGCGTAGAGCTGGGCAGCGTGTCGCTGTCGGGTGCTGCTGACCCAAGGATGTCCTTACTGTCCCTCGGCGTGACCAGGTACACATTGTGGGGCGTTGTGTCCAAGCCGTTATCGGAGTCTGTGTCCCACGGGTGTCTCCTGTCCTCCAGACGACCTTCGTCCATCTCCCCAAGGTCAAAGGTGTCGTTGGGCGGGTCTTCTGGCTGCACGATCATGATGGATGGGTCCAGCTCCAAGCCGTCGATGGTGATTGGTTCGCTGGTGGACTTCAGGGAAAAGTCCTGTACGGAAAAGGCGTTGCTGGCGCTGTGGTTGCTGTAGCTGTCGAAATCACCCAGCCCGTCATCAGTCGGCGAGAAAAACTCTGTTATGGTGGACTCCATGGCATCCAAGGCAGTGCGCTCTCTGCCAGGGCTGCGGGTGTTTTCTGTTAGCCCGGAGCAGGCTCTCTGGTGGCGCACCAGGCTGTGCTTCAGGGAAAAGGTGCGTTCGCAGCCGGAACATCGAAAGGGACGCTCTCCGGTGTGAGACCTCATGTGGCGCCTCAGATCTTGCGCTGACCAGAAACGCTTCTCGCAAATCTTGCACTGCTGTTTCCTCTTGGTTGTGGGATTGCTTGACAAGTCCACGCTGCCATCGTTTGATGTGACTTCGTCACTTTCAAACTTTGCACTGAGAGAATCAATTTCAACGGGTGAGGAACTTTGTTTCCACCTTTTTGAGCTGCTTTGTGTCTTCTGTGCAGCGTCAGGTAGAAAGGACTCATCACTGTCTTCTATCAAGTTTGTTGTAGCATGTTGAGAGTCAGGGTCAAGGTCAGCTTCTGATTCTACATCTGGTACCGCCTCCTCTTGTCTCTCCACCACCATCGCCTCGGTGTTCTCATGCTCGACATTGTGCACCCGGCCAATGTGCCTCTGGCAGTTGAACTTGGTTGTGAAGGCGGCGTCACAGACGGAGCAGTGGAAGGGGTGGTCCATGTTGTGCACCCGCAGGTGGCGCGTCAGCGTCATCATGAACTGGAACTCCTTCCCACACACATTACACTTCACCTCCATCCTCTTCACCTTCTTTGCTGACTGGGCATCCTCTTCGACCTTGCTTTCTTTGCCTTGTTTCTTTCCCTGTTTGGGCGACGCCTTTTCACTACTTGTTGTAGATGCCGGCAAATCTGTTTCAGCTCTCTTTCTCTTCTTCCCCAGCTTTGCTGGCTCATCTTCCTTTTCGTCGATGATGAGCTTCCCTTCTTCTGGGAGCTCACAGCTGATTTGGTCGCAGATCTCAGCAGCCTTGGCTAGAGCCTCCGATGTGCTGGCGGACAACTTTTGGTGGAAAGCCAGGAGCCCGTCTCCCTCCTTCAGACAAAGGCTACTGTCGAGGGATGATTCCATGGAGTCCTTAGGCAGCACTTCTGGTGGCTGTTCTGCAGCTGACTCTTCTGACTCATCCAGCTCTGATTCCACCTTATCCCAGGGGAATGTCGACAGGTCCGTGTCAGGGTGCTTAATGTTGTAGTGGCGATGCAGGTTGGACTTGTTCGCGAAGACGCTGTACTCGCAAATGCGACACTGGTAGGACCCTTCCGATTTTTGCACCTCCTTCTCCTTGCCGTTGTGCTTGCGCAGGAGGTGGCGCTCACGGTTGGACTTGGTGGAGAACTTCATGGGACACTTGGGGCATTTGTACGGCTTCTGTCCCGTGTGTGTCAGGAGATGCCTGCGGAGGGAGCTCTCCCAGGGGAATGTCCGCGGGCAGTGGGGGCAGCATACGCGGTTCGGGGAGGAGGAATACGAACTCTTCTTCTGCCCCTGGGTGTCATCACTAGAAATATCCATCTCGCCAGTGCTGGTGTCCACCTCCTCTACCTCCTCGTTTCCCGGATCATTCTGAACCTCCATGTCACAGTCAAACGCTGGGGAGGGGGAGTGAAGGAATGTCTGGAAGTTGTCGGGGTTGGTAGCAGCCAGCATATTCTGCACGCTGGCAAATTCCCCGCTCGAGTCGGAGGCCATACTGTGGTTCAGGGAAGGTTTCTCCTCAGCTGGCTCATCCATAGGATCGGCAACAGTCAACGTCACGCTTATAGGTTTGGGAGCAATAGGGACGAAACGACGGGCCCTGGTCAGGATGGTGGACACAAAAGAGCTCTTCTTGCCTCTACCCCTTCCTCCCCTTCCCCGTCCTCTGCCTCGAGGAGCAACAGCTTCAGCTCCACCTCGACCCTTTCCTGGTCCTTTTGCACCTCGTGTACTCCCCCCTCTTGTATTCCCCCCTCGTCCCCGGGCAGGGTGAGTTACACCATGGTTCTTCATGTGGCGATCCAGGTTGGACTTGATGGTGAAGGCAGACGGACAATGGGGACACTGGAATGGCCGTTCCTTGGTGTGGGACCTTATGTGCTCTTCCAACCTTCCCCCTCGGCTGAACTTCATGGGGCACATGGGGCAGACCAGCTGGTCACAGTCGTTGTTGTAGTACTTGTGGTATTCTGCCTTGAAACGGTACTTCCTAGTGTTTGTTGGTGCGCTTTCGCTGGCAGACTGCGAGAGGCTTGACTCACTTCGGGAGTCGTCGGTAGATTTAAAGCTCAGGTCCAACGGTTGTTCAAAGTCTCCAGCATCAATGACTATGGAGACAGGGGAGGCCAAGTAACTGCTGTCAGCACTCCTTCCACCCTTCAGGCTGAAATCTAACGGCTGATCAGAAAGGCCTTCAGCACGGTCCAGTTGATAATCCAATGGCTCTTGCTTGATATTCACTTCTAAAGACTGGGGTGTGACACTGTCATGATCATAAGTCTGTTGTTCACCGTCATCTGATTCTGTCTTCAGCCGCATCTGGAACTTGACGTAGGTGTCTATCTTCTTCTGATCGACATTCTCGTGGCGCTTGAGGATGTGGCGGATGCAGTTGTTTTTGGTGGAGAATCCATTCTCGCACAAGCGACACTGGTAAGGCTTCTTGCGGCAGCTGCTGTGAGAGCGCAGGTGGTGTTGGAGAGCGCGGAAGAAACGGAAGTCCTTGCCACAGTACTTGCAGATGGTGTCGGGAGAGCCGAATGTCTCGGCACTTCCGACTGGAGGGTCCTTCACAAACTGATTGTAGGTGATCACTTCCTCGATGTCCTCCTTGGAGAACCGATTGTGCTTCTTCCTGACATGGCGTTCGCAGTTAGCTTTGGTCGTGAAGGCATACTGGCAGAGAAGGCACTGGAATGGGCGTTCGCCGTTGTGGGTTCGCAGGTGTCGAACCAAGGTGCTTTTGTCTGGACTTGCATAGTTGCACTGCCTGCATTGGTAGGGAGCCAGACCCAGATGGGTTCTGACATGGCTCTTGTAAGCTCGGGCAAGGGGAAACTTCTCACTGCAATATTCACACACGTACATGTCTCCCTTCTTCGCGTGGGCTACCTCCTCGGGCACCTCTTCCTTGTCGGAGTCCGACTGCGACTGGCTTTCTACAACGTTCCCGTCCATTGTTTTCACAGTATTGCTGCTAGTGCGTGAGGTCTGTATAGGCTTTGGCAGGATGGGCCGAATCTTTGCAGGCCCTGTTCCCTTCATTTGGCTGCCCGCATTTGGTATGTACTTGAGGGGAGGAGGCGGGGGTTGCTTACGGAGCACCACAGGGGATGCGTGGGGAGGGGTTACCGGGATACGATGCAGCGGCGGGAGGGGTTTCAGGTTGGTCTTGGCGGAGGCGTCTGGCTGGGCGGTGAGCATGGTGGCGTCAGCAGCAACCTTCAGCATCTGTTGGACGTCAGCGAAGTCTGCTGCAGCACCGGGGGTCATCCTGTTCACGGGGGTGGCCACGCCAGCCCCTGGCTCCGGCTTGGGAAGGATGGGCACCAGCTTGGACAGAGGCAAGGTGTTGTGTCGCAGCCCATTGGTTGGGACCGGGAACACGACTTCCGAGTCCCTCACCTTCGTGAAGAAATCTAAGGGGATGTGCTCGTCTTTGGCAGGAGCCATGCTACCCTGGGGGCAGAGGTTCAGTGACTTCAGAAAGGCCGACTTGTCATTCTCATCATCCGTAACCTCTTCTTTCTTTACGCCACTTTCACTGTGTTCTTTCCTGTGTAGGAGTAAGGCTTTAGGAAGGGGGAAGGACTTCCCGCACTCCTGGCAGACAAACTTTGGTAAGGCACTGTTGCACTTGTGTTCATTGTTTTCGCACCACGTCTTGACGATGAGAGGGAACTTGCGGCTGGAAAAGGCCGTGAAGCCCAGCTCCTGGAAGCCCATGACGGCTTGCTTGTTGCCGTTCAGGGATGGGGAGGAGGATCGAGATGAGGACGAGGATGGTTTGAGCTTGGGCTTGTGGACCATCGCTTTGTGCTTGGAGAGTCCTCTGTGATTGCGGAAGGCACAATGGCACAGGTTGCACCTGGAGCAAACAAAGAAAGGATGCAATTGAAAATTTGGCAACCCTTTAGGTCGTGTAAAGTAAATTTCCCAAGGACACAATGTCTTGCCAAGGATGCCAGGGATTTAACCTGTGACCTCTTAATCCTGTGTCCGCTGGCCTAGCTACTCAGCCATTCAACGCTACAGAACTTTGTACCTTGTGACTTTTAAAAGTTCATTCATACCTGACTGAGGTGTCTGGATGAGTCTCCATGTGGGACTGCAGGCCAAAGCGACAGATGAAAGTCTTCGCACAGATCGGACAGGCCAGCTGCTCGGGCTCCTTCTCCTCCTCTCCCTCCTTCTCTCCTCCATCCGTCACCGACTTCCTCCCAACGGACGAAACCTTCTTCCGGGGCGACCAGTCCTCGTCCTGATCGTAGTATGGGCGTTTGGAGGGCGTACGCTGCCGGGGTTCCGGGGTGGGGGGCGGCAGCTCGCCGTCCTTCTCGTGGATACGCATGTGACGGTTCATGTTGCCATTGGTGGTGAACGCCATCTTGCACACCTGTAGAATAAGAAAACGGTTAATTACTCATCTTTCATTATTACAAAAGTAGATGTGATATACACACTAAAATTCATAATATATGTATCTTTTTTAATTACAGACTCTATGACTACAATGATGCATAATGTACTTTCAGTTTCATGGTTCAGATCATTGATAGTAAATTTCCACTACAGAATATTCAACCTCTGGGAGCCAGCAGGAATTAGAGGTTGATATGGGGGAATTCAAAAAGCTGAGGATTGCAAGAGCAACCTTCCAACCATGTTCAGTTTCTGTCCTAGTCCTGATTACAAGTGTATCATACAATCTCCTACGTTGTTCCAATAAATTCACAAAACCTGAAGTACTATGCAGAAGTCTAAAATCAACATTTCTTGTGGGCAGTGAATCTCCAATTATTCATTCACAGGTCACATTGGCATGCCATCACACCTCTGGCAGCCCTTTCGTTGAATTAGGGCGATGACATTAATTAGTAGTGATATCCAGCCCAGAATTAAAAATAAAGTCAGGTTATAGAATTACATATCATTTAAAATAGAAGCAAAAATCACATGTTACAAATTATGCAAGAAAAAAGTCTAACCTTGCACTTGAAGGGCCTCTCCCCGGAGTGGACCAGCATGTGCCTGTCCAGACTGCTCTGGGAGCTGAGCGTCTTGCCGCACAGTTTGCAGGTGTGCGAGCCGGAGTTGTCCTCCATGTTGTGCTGGCGGATGTGGATGGTCAGCTCGTGGGGGGCCTGGAACACTTCCCCACACACCTACACACAGGAAGGTTTTTATCATTTTTATGTTTACTGAAAGAAGACATATTGTTTTTGCTACATTTCCTCTTCTTCTCCTTCCGTTCCAAACACTGACCTCTGACCTGGCCAATGACCTGATTTGTTGACGTCTGTCACCATGGTAACTGATGTTGGGTTACATGGGTTACTTGATGTTGCAATTTTATCAGTAGGAGGGATTCATACTCCTGTCTGACCATATATATATATATATATATTTTTAGTAAGAATTAACATAGCAGACCTGAAGGTATACATTATGCATTTGCTTTGCAAGTGTTACCTTTCTAGTCTTTTGTTCACATTTGTATAATAATTATAAGGATTGTGCAAAATGCAAGGATGCTTAAGCCCTCTCCTCAAAGTCAAAAACTTGCATAAACAAAAACATAAACGATTTGAAAGGGACACAGGGACAGCAAATAAATGTACATTATTATAACTTCAGGTACAACATAATGCAAAAGAGTCAGATTTCAGATAACATACACTGTCATTCTCAGTTACTGATGGGAGATCTGAAATATCTGACTGTTTAGAGAATATTCCAGTTGCTTCTTTGTGCATTATGTAAAGCTACACTAGAGACAGGATATGCTTGTGTCAATAGGAAAGGAATATTTAAGGGACCACCAAAAAGTGTTCACATTGACCAGGTGGTTCTTTTCAAGAAGTGGTCACTAGTACAGGTTTGACTGTAGACACAAACAATAAACAACACTTTATTTGAGAATCTTTGGGAAATTTTTCAAAAATACCTGGCAGGGGAACGGACCAGCCTCCATCTTGTCCGGGTTGAACCTGTTCCGACCTTGAACCTGAGGGGGGAGGGCAAAAAATAAATGGAAACATACCTGGGACTAGCCCAGGGACTGGGCTGGGGAGAAATACAAGATGGAAACACCTTTCAGGGGTGGAACATGGAGGACTGATGGAAGGACAGAATGGAAAGAAAGAAATTTTGCAGGAGGCAAGTGGGGAAAAGAAGTTGAGCAGAAATAGTTAAGAGAAAAGTGCATCTACTATTGACCCCAGGCCCTCCCTCCCAAAAAAGTAATCCTATCTTTTCCCTCTTGTATGATTCTTTATTGTCTATCATTTCAAAACTTGCAACCACCAGGATGAATTCAATGTGTCTTAGTGTGTACATGTATTTTGCATTGCTCATAGTCATAACAAAACAGAAAGGAGATATTTTGTACTGTATAGTCTTGTTTGTCTCTCATATTCAGTCATAATCCGTACATCTGCAGTCATCATCATAGTCCTTTTCATCTACAGTACTGTTACATGTAAATAACGTCTTACATTAATATGTCCTATATGAAATTCTGTACAGTAAACAGAGGACCAATGCTTACATCTCACAAGATGACTTGATATGTAACACAATAACTTCTGAAGCTATTTTTCCTACCTTTACTGGGTATGCACCATCCCCGTCTGCACCAACTTCTTTCTTCCGCTTTTTCTTCTTAGTTGTTGTCCCCTCGTTCCCTCTGACAGGATGATTAGAAGCAGAGGAGGAGGAGCTAACTTCACTGGGAGCACTGGTCACATCTAAGGACTGACCTTGCTTCACGCTCAGGTCAATCGTAAGTTCATCAGACGACCTTGAAGCTGAGGGTGACCTTGCCTCATCTGCATTGTTGTTTGAATCTTTTGTTTCCATAGAACTATTACTACTAGCAGCAGCTTGGTTTCTATTGGTTGCACCACTTGTTGACGTGGAAGAGTCAGGCACTTCTGAATTATTTTCTGTCAGGCACTTATTTGGTTGGTTCTGAGACAGGCCTTCTTCAGAAGGCCCCTCCGTCTCGGGCATTGCTTCGTTTGCTGATTGGTTGGCATCTGTTGCTATGGTGACGGGTGTGTCTGTTGCAGAGGTGGATAAGTCCTCAGGGTCTTCTTCATCTTCTTGGGATTGCAGGGGGAGGAAGTCATCGTCTTTGTCGTACAGGTCGTCAAATGTTGGGTACTGTGTCTCGCAGAGGGGTTCCCCTTCACCACCAGTACCCTCTACAAAACACACAGTACAGGTCATCATTAGCATTGATTTGATTTGATTTACTGAAATTGCAACAGTGCAATACACGTGGAACAGAGGCAACTGTTGCTGGTGTTGTGTCCTAGCACATAGAAACAAATACAGGACAGACAATGCTCATTTTCACTTGAGTCTAGTGGGGAAAGTCGTGTAAAGTGCCTTTCCCAAGGGCACATTCAAGATCGATGGCATGTCAGGACTCGAACCCGGGACCTCTTGATTCCGAGTTGCGCACGCTGCCGTTGCGCCACACGACCTCACATTGAAGGGTTATCTTTTCTTTTGACTGTTTACCAATCTGCACCGGGCACGGGTAGAAACATTAGGTCATTTTAGATTTGGAAAGACAAAGACAATATGGAAAATCTACTAAAGCCTTACACACTTGCATATTAGCTTGATGAATGTGCAGTACATTATGTAGATGCACCCATGTTAATAAAAATTAAAAAGTATGCTTCCCTCTATACAAGGTATTGTTATTTCTGTCATAGCTTTGAGTTAGATGGTCGACTTAAACAACATAAGGGACTGTACGATATTTACCGGGGGGGGAGGGCTGGTGCACTGGAGGGGAGGGCCATTGAAAAAATTTTGGCCTGGGGGAGGGCCATGGAAAAAATTTGAGCCGGGGGAGGCCATCGAAAAAAAATCGGACCTGAGGGGGAGGGCCACCGAAAAACTTTTGTAAAATATGGCGTCACGTAGTACCGAATTACAAGAAATACGCCGTAAATTCCCGAATATAGTACGCACTTTTTACATTTTTCGAAAGTGTCTCGGGCCGTCGCCAAAGTCGCGGTGCGTACTTTATTTGAGTTTTCCGCCGACAAATCCGTGGACGACCCAGGAATATAGCGGAACACCGGCACGGGGAGCTTGGAACATCGATCGTCTATAGCATGTTTAGATAAAAATATTGACGAGTGGAAATAAAGTTAAACTTCAATAAATGAACATATTTCCTGTGACTATCGTCGATATTGACAACAAGTTGCGGTAAAAGAAGAAGTCAAGTCACCCACGGTAAGAAAATGTAGGTCTCTGGCAATGACGCCCGGCGCTTTGTCATGCCGACAGGATCGTTCCCCAGCTAGCCGGCGCAGTGGAACCCCGGCAAAAATATAACCTTCCGTAAGTACACATATAATTGTAGGGTTTATGAGTGGTAATATTTGAAATGGTCCGCAAGCCGTGAACGTTCTTGATCGTCGTAACGTAACATGTGATAACAGTTGTGCCTCGACTGATGGTTATCATTTCCAATACACTTCCGGCTTGAGTTCAACTCAGGAATCTTCAACAAAGATCATGCCCATGTCGTTTCAAAGGTTCAGAAATTGTTAACCATGTTTCACTTCGTATCACAAATATTTTTAAATCTTGATAAATCATTAAATGCCACAGGAAATTACTCAAGTTGTAGCGGGCTACACCAGCCAGTACGACGTGAAAATTCCAGCTAGATGTACTCCTACTCGACTGTTCGGCAAGCTACAATGATAGGGGCGGAGTTAACTTAAAATGTAGTCTTTGATGAAATCTTACCGCCCGGCCGGTGGGTGGGGGTGTTTGGCGCGCCGACAGGCAAACAGCTGAAGAACACAGAGAGGGCCGTGGCAGCGCTGAGGACAGCTTTCCAGAACATGGACCCCGAGAAGGAACTTATAAGTTTTACGGAGTACACATTAATACGTGTTTATTCCTTAGATTTTGTGACAAAAACATCTATCACATAACGAGAGATTACTTGAAACGCAGTCAAACTTGTCACTTTCTCCTGTTCGGAATCGCAAGTCCCATTGATCCCAGTAGTCTTTTGTTGTTGTGTTAATTGGTTTCGGTGTCAAATTTTAAATTCGGTAGCACCTCTACACCCAAATACTCCGCCCAGTTCTCCGCCTGTATGATTGTTGCTCTCCATGGGTGAATGTGTCGATCGGGCGGGCGTTATATCCTATAAAGAAGTGTTCGGCGCATTTCGTATTAAAAACATTAAAGCTACGTACTTGTGCATCAACATTCAACTACCCCCCGTTACCGATAAAATCAACATTGAAATATTGTCTTTTTATCACGAATCTTTATTGACCATTGCTTGCTTGATCACCAACACTCCAAAGCTGGATCCAAATCTGTGCGTTTCGCCGCACTTGCCTTACCTTTCGATGCGGTGGTGACGTCTTGCAAGTCGGCTGCGGCCGGCGGTGAAAAACAAGCCGAACTTGAAACGTTTCCCGCTACGTTACCATACCATCACGTAGTACACGGCATAAATCTATTTTTTAACAATTTTAAATTTGTTTGGAACGACGAACTGTCTTTAAGACATACATACTACATGTTCACTGTGGTACCGGCCGTGCGTAGAAGGGGTGCGTACTTTCCATTTTACGTTTCAGACGGGAATATTTGTCTTCCACTATAGCCCCAAATCGGGGGTGCGTACTTTAATCGGGATGCGTACTTCATTCGGGAATTTACGGAGGGAGAAAGAGACATGGACTGGAAAAATGGTGGGGAGGGCCACCGAAAAATATTTTGGGGTGGGGGGAGGGCCATTGAAAAAAATTTTGAGCCGGGGGAGGGCCATGGAAAAAAATTTTGAGCCGGGGGGAGGCCATGGAAAAAATTTTACCGGACCATTTTGCACCAGCCCTCCCCCCCCGGTAAATATCGTACAGTCCCTAAAAAAAGAGTAGCTCCAGTCAGAATATGTAGCGCTGAGAAATGTAGCAGACTATACTGAAATATACACGTATGTAGCATCGTCTGTGTTGGAAGAATTCACTTCACATCAAAACACAATTAAGCACTGGCAGGGTGTGGAAAGAAGATTTTAAAATTCGGTATGTATCAAAGTACAGAAAACAGCTACATATTTTGCTGACATGGCACCAGCTGGACAAGACCCAATACTACACACAAGGCCTTCTGCTCCCAAGGCCAGCTAATGATACTTAGAGGTCATTATAATTACAGCTGGGTGTGTCTTAGTATTGAGAAAGCATTTAATCTACATTGTATACCTCAGAAGAAGGATAACAAAAAGGACAAGGCTCCTTTTCCTTCTACCTGTCCTTTCTTATCTATGGTCTTATAGTTATACCTGTTACATGTATATCTAATGAATTATAAAATGAGTCCAATAACAAATTCTTTTTCAAGTTTGAATATATACATGATGAATCAGGACCTGATGTCACAGGGCTTGAAATACTGGGTGAAATACTGGGTGGTGCACCCAAAATCGGAGTTGTGCACCTAATTTTTTCTGTGGGTGCACCCATATATTTTTGTAGGAATTTTTAACATAAGAAATGTAACTGGATATTCTTGGTCTCTAAGTATTGGAAAAAAATAAAATCTTTGTTGTAGTACATGTACTTATTTAAGATCTTGACTTCATTTTAGATTCAAGCTCAGACGTGGAGCAGTAAGACCTGCAATTAGGTTTTGTTTCATATGATATGGTGCACCCAAAAATTTTTGTGCACCTAATTTTTTAGGTTGGGTGCACCAGTGCACCTATTCCCAAAAATGAATTTTGAGCCCTGTGACATGTATGGTGCACTTTCTGCCATGTAGTCCTTGCGATATGAAGCAACAGTCACAAGAAGTTGGCAACATATACATGTACCAAAGTTTCCAAAGAATCTATACCAGTCAACACAATGGAAAGCTCTTCCACATGCCTAGTGTTTTACGAATGTAACGTTACACTCGTGCATCCTCATCAGTATTCTCAGCACATCCTGTGTGTTGAATCATCTGGAACAGTAAGTTGAAATATATGTCCTGCAGCCTACTTGACTCTATGAATAACTTACTACACTGGATAATGGTAAAAACATTGTATGAAGAAATGAACTACTTACACTGTACAATCGAATATCCAAACCACCAGATAGGATGTCTGGCTTTGTTTACTCAGTATGCTCTGTGTATATATACACAGACCTCAAAGACTGTGTATATGAACATTTATGGAATATTCAGATGTACATTAGCAAGGCAGAAAGGTGTCAGACAAATGTTAACCTTTATGCTACTGTCTGAACCTATGCCGAGCACAAATTTGGTTCAAGAGAGGCCATATCTTACTATTCTTAGCAGGCAGAAGGTTAATATTAATAATAGTTTCGCCCTGTAATCCAACATAATTCCTGAAACTGAACACAGGTGTGTGTAATCATGAAATTTAATCCACAAGGGAGCTATTGAGGTATACTACCTCGTCTATCTATATTAATTATGCCAATTACACATAAGATTGCGGACTTTATTGACACATACACTGTATCTTTATAACCAAAACATAACCCAAACGAACAAAAAGAAACAAAACTTAGACACTGAAGGTCACACCCATTATTTTACATTCTATCCAGTCTGTATCTATACATTGGTCTATCCTAGCCTCCTTCGCAGTCTTGTTGGGCGTGGGCGTAATTTTTTCTGAGCGACGCGAGTAATATGCCGCCGCGAGGGACGATTTGCTGCCGAGGGACTTTTTGCCACGGAGAGAAGGTTTCCGCGCTCCAACAAGACTGCTTCCAATCGGCGAGTAGAAAGGGCTATCAAAAAACACTTAGGAGCGATTGGCATGGATGTGTGAACTTGTGAATTGGACCTGCACGAACATGTTAATAGCCTCTATGAAAGGCTGGCTTAATCCGAGGTCCTTTCTACTCGCCGATTGGAAGCAGTCTTGTTGGAGCGCGGAAACCTTCTCTCCGTGGCAAAAGTCCCTCGGCAGCAAATCGTCCCTTGCGGCGGCATATTACTCGCGTCGCTCAGAAAAAATTACGCCCACGCCCAACTGGACTGCGAAGGAGGCTAGGTCTATCCCACATCTTCAAACCCTATAAGCTTCATACTATTGTATTCTATATGAGTTAAACTTGTATTTGGGTTGGTTGCAGGTATAAGCTCACTACAAAACTAACAGGGCTCAGGGCCACAAGGGAAAAAATTTTGCTGCTTAAAATTTCTATAATAATAATAAAAAGTCAAATAAAGACAGAAATATACTTCAGGCCAATTTTGATGCTAGTATAGTAGTAATGAAAAATAAACACTGTAATTTCTGTAGGACAACCTCCTTTATACTAAATTATAGATACAGCTTTGAAGGAAAGCAATGTGCTAATAATAGTGTTATACATAAGCTTTATTATGATGTTAAACATTGTCTACTTAAGTCTAGACATGTGGGCTCTTTTTGGTACCGAAGGCACTGCAGGCACATTTCCACTCCACAAATAAAGCCTTAATTTACTATTGAGCAGGTAGCAGGAATTTCTGCAGTCCAGGGTAGGATTGTGATGGCTTGACCTCGCATGCCCCTCTCAGCATTAACTAGAGTTCCCCGATCTCATACCTTCGCCAAATGATGTTAATCTTTATGACTGACAAATTATAGATTAGATTATTCCCCCCTGATTTAAGAAATAGGAACCTAATTTTCATGAATTATATCATTTTATCATAATCTCAACCAAAAGACAGTCTTATATTAACAAACAATGCATTCTAGCATTTCCTAATAAATTATGCAAATGAGGTCCTGATTTGAATAAATTATGTTTAATGATGTTCACCTCAATTTAACTTTCAAATACCACAAGTATGAAATTCCAGGCAGTTATCATTACATAATTATAAAATTTTCTAATTAATTATGCAAATTAAGTCATTATTAACATAATCAATACCTTCCTGTGTTTCTCTCGTTGTCAATTACCAATGTCACAAGCTTCAATTGTCCTATCATGGAATGCAGATGATTTATAGAATTTCCCCATAAATTATGCAAATTACATCCATATTTGCATAATTGTCACATAATTATATTAAGCATCACGTAAGCTACCTACATAACAAAAATCACGACGATCCGTCAACTGGTTCTTGAGTTATCCCCTTTTGAATATTTTCAAGAATATATCCCTGCAGTTCTAGAGCAAGACGCTAGGGGGCCTAAACTCACGTCACTTCTTCCCCAGCACAAGAGCTACCTACTATCCAAATTTCATCACCATAGCATGTCTAGATCATGAGATATCAAAACCGGAAGTTCAGCTGCAGTACCATAACAAGCCACTAGGGGGTCCAAAATCTAATCATTTTGAGGTCTCATCAAGACCTACCCACCTACCAAGTATCAAGACAATCCATCAAGGCCTTCTCAAGTTATCGTGTTGACAGACAGACACACACACACACACATACACGAACGCCCCTGAAAACATAACCTTCTTGGCGAAGGTAATTAATAACTTCCAAGGGAACACCTGCAACCATTACTGATTGCCTGACCTAACAGTTACAATATGGAAAGGGTTTTCACAGCCTAAAGCAATTAATACTAAAAGAATGACATTACGCTATCAACTTCAAGTTTATTCTCGATGATAAATGGTAGCTGTAATCTTTGTCTGGACTGAGGCCACACCGATTTAATTTGTTGGTTCAATACGCAGAAACATATCCACAGACACACACACAGACAGATACACACACACACAGACAGAAAGAAAGCAATACCTGAATTTTTTATAATTCTGTGGCAGAAAACCAACCTCATCTTACCACTACCATTGTAGATTCATTGTTTGTTTTGTATGGGTTTTGTTATGAGAAACAAGTTATCTATTTATCCTGGCCTTATCAAGCAAACACTGGGGAGCGGGCAGAGATGTACCTAGGTAGGGAAGGGTTACAGAAGGCCACAGGACTGTCTGCATGGTCCACTGACAGCTGCAGCCCCTCAGTTGGACATGTGGTGCCAAGTGTGGCATCCATCCCTCTCTGCAAACTCTAGCTTGAGATTTCTCACCCTATGACTCCAGAGCTCACAACTATCTATTCATGTAAAAACGTGCCAAGGTGTGTGCCTATTGTGCAAACTTTAAAAATGATGACCAAACACACACACTCTTTCGGGTGAGGATGGCTGGAGGCATGCTCCACATACCAGACATGATCAAAGTGCACGAACCACATCCTTCCCGGACGTGTGAGAGAGGACCCACGTACGTTTTCATCAAGAAGAGGCAGCCTGGCGGGGGTTTCTTTTGTTCAGGTGTAGGCCTAGGGAGAGCTAAATTCTCGTGGGACCCCGGGTGACCTCTGTACCTGCCTACCAGGTGTTGCATGTCGCCAGGTGGTGCCAGGTTTCCCCACACATGCCTCAGAGATGGACTCAAAGAAAGGATGGGAGGGGGAGGGTTGTACTTTCAAGTTTTCAAAACACACATCTTTTTTTTAAAAACCCAACTTTTTAAACAGACACTGCTATGAGAGAGGGTACTCTGTTTGTGTCTGTGGTAGGAAGAAGACAAATTTGTGAGCAAACAGGTTAAGACAGGAAGGGATGTGTCACTTCTCCTTACTCCCTACGTGGGCCCCATCAGTATGAGTCTCCACATCCCCGGTTTGACCTCGGGGTGACGGGTGGGACTAGTCTGGATTCTGCTGCCTAATCACTGTGCAAGCTGCTCCCTTCCTCCCAAACACATCTGTCCCACCTTTCCTACCCCATCTGAGCCCGGCTCCTTCCCAACACTGAAACAAAGGGGGTGACGGAATTCTTTGTGTGCATGCGAGGTTGGCGGGTCAGAAGATCTGGGCATCAGTGAGGATGAATGCTTCAGCAGAGCTATCAGGTTAACTTCTGGCAGGCTGAGTGGTTTAGATAGCAAGGGGCTCTCCCAGGGTGTTTGTTGCTAGGAGTTATCAAGATGAGGAAAAGAAAGACCTGGTTTCCAGAGCGCGGGGAGGCCACTCATCTCGGGCGGGGTGTGGCAGCGGCGGGGATGGAGTGCAGCCGGGAGCCTGGTACGGATAGCCGTGGGGAGAACCCAGGAGGCATGAGGAGGCTGCTGGCATGTGTGTGTGTGTCTGGCTCCCTGGTCTACATCCGCATCAGTCTCCTGCCACTCACATGTCGGGACGTACCAACACACTGGATGCTGGGGGTGGGGGCAGGGTGTGCTGAAGACCAGGGGCTGACTCTTTGCAGACTACTACACTCTTCCTCAGCAGTGCTCATGAATATGCATCTCCCCAAAAGGGCTCAGACTAATCTTATCACCGATTTCCATCAACAAATCAATGTTTTAACAGCAGGGGGTAGAGGGAGGCTGTAATCTTACCTATCTCTTACACAAGTTTCAAATGCTTCATATACATCTAAAGTCAGCTTTGTATTAATTTTGGATATAATCAGGTGGTCCACTTGAGTCATGATAGGCTGAACGTCAAGGGAGCGCATAGTACATACAAGAAACCAACAGACCTGAACTTGAGTACATAAAAAAAATGTTTTGCCATGCCTGGTTGATCTTGTTACAAAACAAAAGACCAACTCTTCAGGTCACAATGCCAACACTCAACAGGTCTGACAAAGGATTGGAACTCATGGTCCAAAAACAACAACAGGCAGTGTGTTATCTCTCTATCTACCTACCTCCCTGCCACCTCATTTCTTTTGGTTAGCAAAGTTTTCATCACTACAGGATGCCACACCTGCACATTTCCTGCATCCTCCGAAATAGCACGGCCCTGACTCATCAACTTCAACAACAACAGTTGATAATGATTATACCTGTATGTGTAGTTAGTGCTTTGTACAGGTTTGCTGGAACTAGTTCCGGACTTGTAAAAATGTTTAGGTTCAAGTAAAAAAAAACTTGAATGTCTGGAACTAGTTCCGGACTTACAAAAAAAAATCATGTCACGTTCTCCTTTTTGTTCTAAACCACCTGAAATCTTCAATAGTAAAAAATGTGCGCTGCAAAATGAAGAAAACATTGCCATTGGGCATCGTCAAGTGTCGGCCGCCATAAATTATGTGGCCCCAGTTTTGCAAACAAATCTTTCTTCTAAACCCTGGTAGTGCAGTGCTCGCTACAAAAGTTTACAAGTCCGGACCTGAACGTTACCTGAACCTCTGGACTTGACTCCGTACCTGGACCTGAACATGTGTGATAAACCAGACAGACAACATTCTACATCTTTCATGAGATAACTTAAGCGGAAAACCCAGTGTTTTCACATATTCTCCCCATCATATTCAACAAGTCTTGATCTGTTAAAAGCAATCAGTTGTAAAACCAACATAATCTTACCCAAGAGACTTTTAATCTACTTTTTACATCTTCAAATTTCCCTGTCAGTCATACTTTAACTTGACATACAGTTGTATAGCACATTTCCCCCCACACCCAAAACCACCAGACAAAAAGACAGACAGCACTTCTACCTGAATATCAGAACATATCATCCCTTACATTAATTATGATCTCACCACTCCATGATTTTTGTGCTCCTTACATTTCACCAGTAGCCATGGTACCAGACTTGATTAGTTTGTCAGAACCTATTTACTCAAGGCCTGCAGGTGGATGCATGGAGACTGACCTTTCTTAAATTAACAACCTTAGGCCACACCAATTTGATTTGTTGTTTCTTGGATTTGCCCTGTCCGTTTTTTTCTGATTTGCAAAAAAAATAAAAAATTTTGGTTCTAACTCAAGTTTTTACAATGTAACTTTGTTTCATTAAAAGTTTAAAATCTATTGTTTTAATAATAAACCAGCTTGGTATGCTGACTTCATGGCTCATATTGTAACATTTCCAGCTATCATGGGGTGCCTTGGCCTGTTGTTTTTTTTTTCCCTGTTGCTTCATATTTTTTCTTAAAAAATCCGAGAACCAACAAATTAAATTGGTGTGGCCTTAGCTTGACTAAACACGCTCTAAAAACAACTGGACTACAGTTTTTTGAACAAAGTATAGAAGTTCAAAATCTATTGTTTTAATAATAAACCAGCTTGGTATGTTGACTTCATGGCTCATATTGTAACATTTCCAGCTATCATGGGGTGCCTTGGCCTGTTGGTTTTTTTTTTCCCTGTTGCTTCATATTTTTTCTTAAAAAATCCGAGAACCAACCAATTGAATTGGTGTGGCCTTAGCTTGACTAAACACGCTCTAAAAACAACTGGACTACAGTTTTTTGAAAAAAGTACAAAAGTTCAAAATCTATTGTTTGGTTCAGGTACCAAAAACAAAGCACATTGAATTTCCTTCCAACCTGGCACAGGTATCTGTTGACACAACATTCTAACATTCTTCTACTTCCTTTAGGCCACACCAAGTAAATTTTATGGATGACGTCCTTTGGAGACACTAAATCTAATGCGAGAGGGCGAAAAAAAAACAAGAAGGGCCCTAAAAAACAAGATGCCTAGATTAGAAATATACTAAGAGACGACAAATGTTAGGACACAAATTGAATGAGGTGACACAGTGTAACAAGCAAGAAGTCTTTTATTAATCATAAAAACAGCAATAAATCAGGTGGAACAGTGGACAGTGAAAAAATTCTGTTATTGACAGGTTGGTCCTGTCAATGGTGCATATTTTTTGTTATTGACAGGACGGCCCTGTCAATAGACACTTTCTTCGCGTTACGGGTTTCACGTAAATCTGACGATTTGTGGCACTGTCGTGACTCTTTGATCATAGTTACAGGAAGCGGAATTTCTTGTGTTTTTTTTTCTAGGAAGAGGCCAAAATCAATGCGCGCGCGGACGTCATCCATAAAATTTACTTTGTGTGGCCTTACCTGGAAAAACGGAAACAAAAAAATTCAGCAGCAATCCCCCTTCCATCCCCAAGTCTTTTACTGTAATTACCTCCTAAGTACGAGCCTAAAGGGAGAAATTAGAGCAAACAGGGGCAACACAATAAGGATGGGTCATATAATTAACGAGGAGGATTCAACAGAAAACAGCTGGTCAGCAAAAAGAGGCCCCGAGAGGAAATACAACAAAAGCCCTTCACTTGAGTTACTGCCATCTACTGTTCGCAGCACTTCAGATGTTGATTTCAAACAACAGCTTTGGCCATTAAACTAATTACCTGTGGTACATATATTAGAGTTAGTCCAATTTACAAGAATGTCAATCATTCAAAATATTGGGATCTAGCATCTCAATTAGCAATGTTTGTATTCATTTTATGCGGAAATGATCTACATCACTACTCTTTAGTCTTATATATCGAAATTCATTTATGGGAATAGGTGCACTGGTGCGCCCAACCTAAAAAATTGGGTGCACAAAAAATTTTTTGGGTGCACCATATAAAACAAAATCTAATTACAGATCTTGGATATGATTCAAAATCATATCCAGTTGCTTGAGTAACTGCTTTTTGGCGTATCGTATTACCTGGATGTCTAACCTTCATCGACGTACAGATCTTACTCCTCCTCTTCTGAGCTTGAATCTGAAATGGGAGCTAACTTAAACAAGTATTACAACAAAGATTTTATTATTTTTCTGACACCTAGATGCCAAGAATATCCTGCATACTATTAATAAAAGTATTATACATTTGATATGTACAAAAATACCTACAAAAATATTTGGGTGCCCCAGTGCACCCACAGAAAAAAATTGGGTGCACAGCTCCAATTTTGGGTGCACTAAGGTGCACATGCACCCAGTATTTCGAGCCTGATTGTGCTAAATAGTATATCTTATATCCTCCACAAGCAATGCTAGGACGTTTTAGTAATAAGTCTCTATCTATCCACAAGAGGAGGCATTGTGAGAAGTGACAGTTCATCAATAACTATCTCTACATTCTTTCTGTGACCTCGAGCGAGAATTTGTTCATCACCAATGAGAGGAGCATCTCTTAACTCCCGGCGTTGCCAGGCAACCGTACCACCGCTCCATCAATAATTCAGGTCCATCTTTTGTCCCGGGTGCTCCAGGATGCGTTGCCATGGTGATTGATCGAGGAGACAAGGGAGAACGAGTGATGCATGGGGCTCTTTCAACAGGTGTTGTTATGGTTGCGTGGATAATATTTAACAGGAGATTATTGCCGTAGATGTCGACTACAATTCCTACATGTTAGATACAGTAATTCACTGGAAAACCACTACCTTAAAGTTGACTTGGGTAGTACTTATCTAGAATAGTACAGGTTATCAGAATACTTCTGTGAAGAGTGAAACAACAGTCGTAAATTGTCATGAAAAATGGGGGTTAAAATGTTAGCATGTAATGATGTATACATTTTTTTAAGGAAATTTGTGCACATCAATTTCTTCTGCTATGCTAGATTTCTTTCTGCTGAGGCCTAGGAAAAAAATGTTTTGTTTCCTGTTTCCCGATCGACCCTAGAAAAACCTGCCGACCATAGACTTTTTGGGGTGGGGGGGTGGATTCCTGCAAGGGACATAAATTTTCAAGCTGATCAACAGTGTAGGTTATAAAAATGCTGTGATCCTATGGTTCACAGCCTTTCCCCATGTCAAGATCTCTACAGATTTTGTTCCTGAGATGAGAAATTCTGTTCCAAAATGACCACTGCTTAGTTAATCATTCACAACATGGTCAATTTAAAACCTAAGTGTACTACAAACTGTCCTTCGGACTGGTCAGAAGGGCAAAAAAATAATGTTAGCTTCACAAGACAGCAAAATTTTAGTAAAAATTGAGGTGTTTGTTTTTATTCAAAGTAATAAAATTATTCAAAAAAGCAGTTATTCAAGCAACTGGAAATGATTTTGGAAGTTTTGACTGTATCCAAAATCATATCCAGTTGCTTGAGTAACTGCTTTTTGGTGTATCTTATTACCAGGATGTCTAACCTTCATCGACGTAAAAGAATTACTTTTCAAAGCATACCACCCCCTCCCTCAATGGACTGGCCCCCTTAGCCAAGACTCCTCCCCAGACACCCCTGGCCATCCTAACACCTTCTATAAATAGCAGATGCTAAAGATGCTGTACAGAAGGCCAAGTCTTCTCCTGGTTAGATGAGCCTTTGGGTGAGATGAAACAGACAAGGACACTTGGTCTTGTACATGACCCGATCAAGTTGTAATTATCAAGATCTCCTGAAG